ATGTGGAGTTGGGAGAGGTCTCATTTTAATCAGAAATGTGCGGGCTACAATCATGCCTCATTAAGAACGGTTCGGGTTATTTTTTGGGGTTTCTGAAAAACTCGTTTTCTAGGAAACCAGGTCTTCGAAGGGCTATGCGGAAGCCGCATGGTCGTATTCGTAATCAGCATGATCGATAACCTATAACCCACTAGATTCCGAGCAAAAAGCGTTTAATCACTTCGTGGGGTTCCCTCGTAAGATCTTTTGAGTCAAGATTTTACTGAAAAAATTGAAGAAATCAAGATCTTGGTTTTTTACTAGGAACCCGTGAAAAACCGTGAATATCTTAGTAAAATCGAATAAAAATTCTCATGATCTCCACTATTTTCTTCATATCAATAGCAATTTCATGCGTGATGTAAGTCAGTGAGTCTATAGTAGATGATTTTGTCAGAAACCTAAATTGAGAAGACGAAAAAATATTTGTTTCTATTCAGATGAGATGTGTTTCTTCTGTCAAAAACTATTTGTTCTGTGCTCTTCTTCACATTAAAGAGCGAAGAAAATGTACGATAATTTGAAATAGAAGATCAATGCTTTTTTTTTAAAAATGGTTTGACGATTGCATTTTTTTTCATATGGTTGAGAAATTCTGTTTGTTGAATGTTTTATTCAGTAGATGTTAAGGTTTGTGATACAATAACACATTTAAATTCGATTGATATGATATCGACATCGACTGGTTTTGAGCCATTTAGATTCAAAATGATCAAAATTATTTTCTTTGTCTCCATTTTAGGTAATGATTGAGAAGATTTATTAGTCAGCGACTCTTTGATAGGCGAAAACGCGTTGAAAAATACTTATTAAACTAATTAACTTTTGACTTGCCATCACTAATTACCGATAGCTTATGTGTATTAATTGCTAGAATATTACAGTTACCTTTCTTTTATTTGTTTGTATTAGATAGAAATGTTCGATGATCATTAAGGTGCATCATTACACTATTTAACTTGTATCTTATCCGTGAAGCTTACTGCTCTCTAAAAAATTTTCATATCTTACCGAATCCAAAAAGGGTATTTCCATGCCGGAATACCCTTTTTGGAATCTCTGAGTAACAAATGAAGATACTCCCTTTTTTTTGGTTCTGTGGAATGAGGAATACTCTCAAAGAAATCTTACCGAAATATCAAAATAGCATTGTAAAATACGGTTAAGGATATTTCTAATTCCACAGAACCAAAAAAAGGAGGTATCTGCATTTGTTACTCAGAGATTCAAAAAAGGGTACCCGACATGGAAATACCCTTTTTGGTTCTTTTTTTTAGAGAGTAGTTACTTTATTAAATAATATTTTAAACTTCGAATTGTTATTCTAACTACAATGTTTCTTAACTTATCGCCAATACTTTTGTTACGTTCCTCCTTTAATTTTCCCAACACTTTTGATCGTACATGCTTAGATAATCCACTCTGGAATGGCGGTGGCATACATCGGATTGAAATGTTAATGACTGCTAGTTTCTTGAATGTGGCACGTAAACAATGTAGGATATCATTGAATAGCCTCTATCTTGTCTTACCATTGAAATAACCTTTCAGTTCGATATTTGTATCGTTAATATAGAAACTGCTAAATGTCTGTTGAAGATAAAGTCGCCCTTCTTTAAAAAATCCTAACTAAGTCTGTATACTAAATAGATTAGCGAAAGTTCTTTTTTACATTTCTCATCAAGATCTTGAGTTTATTGCTCAAGAGATTGCCACTTTTTTCTGTTGCACTTATTCACTTAAGATCATCAATCGAAAAGTTCTACTAGGGTAAGACTTTCAACGTTATGAGAAAGAGAGAGAGAGCTATTAAGCTGCCTAGAGAAGGAAGCGATCAAAATGTCCGTGATTGGCCTGTATATTGTCATAATCGAACGCTCAAGCTGATACACAATTATTATTTATAGTTGCTGCTTTTACGAATTGTGTACAAGAATTAAGGATAAATTTGCTTATATTAATCGTAAATTTTTAATAATAGCTAAACATTTCGGCTTGGTAAAGCCTTTATCAATGGTAAAATAATAAGAAAGGTACTTAACAATAATCCAAATTAGTAAATATCTATCAGAAATGTAAAAAGAAGTACATCTCGAGCAAAGAAATTAAAATTACATATGGAATCTAAGCTTATCAAATTCTATAATCTACTGGTGTTCATGGTCTTAAATTGTGCGATTTAGGGTCACTATATTGATCACTATGTCTCCATTTGTAATTAAAGATACGACCTGAATCTTTTTTGATTCATTATTTAATTAACGGGGACTGATTAAAGATAGCAGATCAATGATCTCGTTAATTAAACAATGGAGCAAAAAAGATTCAGGTCGTATCTTTAATTACAAATGGAGACATAGTGATCAATATAGTGACCGTAAATCGCACAATTTAAGACCATGAACACCAGTAGATTATAGAATTTGATAAGCTTAGATTCCATATGTAATTTTAATTTCTTTGCTCGAGATGTACTTCTTTTTACATTTCTGATAGATATTTACTAATTTGGATTATTGTTAAGTACCTTTCTTATTATTTTACCATTGATAAAGGCTTTACCAAGCCGAAATGTTTAGCTATTATTAAAAATTTACGATTAATATAAGCAAATTTATCCTTAATTCTGATACACAATCATAGCTGATGTTTTTATCAAAAAAGGATTTATGACGTGAAGGTATCTCTTTCAAGAACTAGGTGACCTAATTATATATTGGTTGTCTTAACAATTACATCATTCTTGGATCTTTTTTGTGCAATAAATTGTTATACTCATCAAAATAATGATTAATTCCTTTGAGATCATTAAGATACGAAATTGTGGGATATATTCAATGATATATTTGAATATTTTATTCAATTATGATTGCCAATTATTTTTTTATTTCTGTTACTGTTTTGGTTAATTCTCTATTTATCTAATGATTAATATTATTTCCAATTATTACATGAAATAAGTTTTTAATCAATTGAACTGTTGTTTATTTAGTGTGTACGCGAATCACCGATGGTGACTTTTTATTTGTAGGTAATAAATATGTGGTTTTCGATTTTTTTTCCTCAAATTTTTAACTTTTTGACGAAGTAGGACACGACAATGATATTTGATTATTTGTGGAAATTTTTGATAGTTGTGAGGAGTGATGTGCCCATCAGGATTGTTTAGACGATATTCAACACATTTGCGATGAGAACAAAATTTTTTTGGATAATTATTCTCTCACATTTAAGTACGATATTCACTGATGAACATCAACTGATTATATTAATTGATAACTAATGCATGTTGGAGACTGCATATTGAGAAAAAATGTTATTAACTATGGCTGCTGCTGTGTTGAAGAGGGTTTATTTGCTAAGTCATCTTCATTTTTGTCTGTTGTTGAAGTTTTAAAACATCGATAAATTTGTCACTTAATTCAAGAATCATTTCAATAAATATTGCTTTATTACCTGATCTTAAAACCTTGTAAGTTCGGTTTAATTTTTAGTATTGGTGTCTTTTAAATTGTTAATGAATTGGTTAATTAATTCATCGAACGAAAACACAATACTGATGAAAAGAGAAGAGAAGCAGAATATGAAAGATGATATTGAAAAATTGAAAGTAAATGCCAATGTTGATAAATTTATTTTTTAATATGCGGTAATACTAATAATATAAGCGTCCCGAAATTATTTATTTATTTATTTTAATTAGACACTTCACTTTAATTAATGTGTTTTTGGTTAGTCTAATAAAAATAAAGCATAGGATTCTGACTAAGATTACAACAAATAGTTGGGGAAATATTGATCCAAACAGGATGCATCAGTATAGTAGCACTAGTAATAACATGAATTTATACGTAATTTTCCTTAGTAATGAAAGAAGACACATCAGAGACGTTTCCGGTTAGACTGACATATCGTTACTGCATATATTATACACGTTATTCATAACTATTGTGCACTGTGTTTTGAAATAAAAGAAATGGATCTAATTTGATCTGTTATTATACAAGATAGAGCCATATGGTAAAAGAAGTCAAAGCTTTTAAATATATTTGTTTTTTTTTAGCAGAAATAGTTCTTTTTTTTAAAAAAAATTTTTCAAACACGCATAATTGAAAAAACGCTTTTATCTAAACAGTATTAAGTATCTAAATCTTTTGATGAACATTGCGTGTTTGTAGGAGACAGCACGCATAGTTTCTTCTACCAATGATTTTAAATAAAAGTGCATGTACTTAATTTGACAGATTTTCAGAGGAGTTTTTCCTCCTTCTTTCTCTTCTTTGTTCTGTAGAAATTATCAGAGAGAAGATATCTTTAAATAGCATGATCGAGCTTCTTTTTTCCGTGCTTCTAATCGGTATCTGAAGTTGGTTTAATCGAAAAAATATTCTACGTTAATAATAAAACGATCCTTTAGGATATTCTATATACCGTTGTGTTTTAGATTAGTGTCATTTTGACGTTGTACACAAAATACTTTAGACTATCAAACGCGTTAAATTAAATTAGATTTGGATTTGAAATGAATGGAAAAATTGAATTTTATTATTATTTTATATACATTTTTATTATGCAATTTAAATGCAAATCGTTTTCCCGTTAATTTGGGAGGTTTATTTACAGTTAATCAATTATCATTTTATAATCAATATTGGACATCGATTAAAATGGCACTTAACCATATTAATTCAGCAGTCGTTACACGAAATATTACGTTGATTCTTAATGAAACCGAAGGAATGACTCAAGTACGTTAAGAAAACCAAAATAATCTTATCCAAAGAGGATGTTTACTGAAAAAATACATTCAATTCAAGAAAAAAACATCTTTTTTTTTCCCTCAGTTACAGTTTAATCAAAGTTGTTGTTTATTTTCTATTTTTTCTAGTGTGATATTGGTTATGCTGTTAAAACGTTCTTTGAAATGTTGAGTAAACCACCAAAACGCGTAGTATTGTTAACGAATGCTTGCCAAACTGTTATTGGCCAAATAACAGAAACAGCTACTTATCTTCAATTACCAATAGTGAGTACCATCGTACGTCTTTATCTTTGTCACTCTCATCCTACTCTCTTTTAGTTTTCATTTACTGAGACAGATCCTTCGTTGGCCGCACGAGAGAAATATGGCGGTTTTTTTCGAATAGTACCATCAGATTTAATGCATAATAATGTACGACGAGAAATATTACAACGATATAATTGGACACGTTTTGGTTTAATCTATCAAACTGGATCTCAATTTACACTGGTAGTTAAACGATTTCTCTTTGAAACAAGATCTTAATAGACTCAACCCGGTTTAGGATTATATAAAAATTAGAGAAATAGTTGTAGTAAGGTATGGATATTTATATGAAATGTTGAGTGCAGTTTAAAAACAAAAAGAAATGTTGGACACTGTTACTTGATGATACCCAACGTTCTACTGAAGGATACTGTATTTAGAATATATATCGTCCTTTCTGTTTTATAATAAAGAAATCAAGTGTCCTATTAGACAAATCATATTGCTCGAAGTTTGTATATTGTCTGAATGCTGAAAGAAATTAAAAACAAAATAATCTGTTATTTTATTTGGTTTATCGAGCAAAAACGTTTGTTTGTTTTAGAAAACATCAGTGAATAGAAAAAAATGCGAGTCTATGTAAAAAAACTACACTTGATGGAATTAACTAAAAATCCATGTAGTTTACATTTAACTCCATAACTGTAGCACTTAATGGATCGCGCCTTAAAGTATAATAAAACGAAAAAATTTTAACGTAACTATGCATGTATATATATATACCAAGGCATGAAGAATATCAAATCATCGTTAAATAGGACTAATCTTTCATTTCTATGTTTTTTTCTGAAAGGTTTTTCGTCCCTCTTGAACATAATATCCAGCCTTCTAATAGTTTTTCTAGATGCAAGACAAATATTTTTTCTATTAAAACATTTGTTTTTAGGCAGCAAATGATTTTTTGTCCAAATTATTTGTCCAAGATAAAAAGTATGATCTACATAAATGGGAAGTTAATTTAACACGGAGTATTTCTTATCGAATGAGCAAAAATACGTACGAAGAAAATAGTAAAAGTATTGAAAATATACTGAATGATTTTAAAGTAAATTACAGGTTGTGTGATGAAAATATATTACAGTTTTTGTTTGACTATCTTTATTTAGGCACGAGATGTACGAATAGTTATTGGTAATTTTAACCAAAAAGTTGCCGAACATGTATTCTGTCAAGTATGTATTCATCTGGTTTTTATTGATATTGATTAAATCAAGATTTAACTTTCACTCACTTTAAATTTAATATGACAGTAAGGGGACACCTCCTATATCCCGATCAGGATATAGAAAAAAAGTAGTATCCCGATCGGGATATAAAACACGAAATTTCGTCGTAAAAACGATTAAGGGGAAAATGACGACGTTTTGGGGTAAAATTGACTTCACCATTAG